TTTACTGTTTCTGCATGTTTCTGCTACTGTTTCATGTTTGAAGCATGTTTTCACTTGATGGTGTTTGGCAGATTCTGCTGGTTGACCACCTGTCATGATGAACAACGATACCACCGAGTAACTAACTCTACCGGAATGTCAAGGCCTACCGGTAGTGGCTACCCATAGCAGCCTACGCTGTATGACCTGTGATGAGGTATACCTGGAGTCGCATGTGGGATCACATCTGGACGCTTGGAGTTGCATACCACTCACAGACTTGTCAGATCACAAACATTTGTGGTCGGCACGGTATGCTTGGCATTTATCCAGAGTTCTTTCTCAGAACTCTGGTATCATCTGAGGGACTACGTCAATCAGGGCAAGCTGTACCGCCACAACCCTTACGTCTCTTTGACTCAAAGCCCGCATCTACATTTGCATTCCCCCGATGGTAATGGTCTTCTGCGCCAGTTGATTTGAAGAATCCAAGGTATATCCAATTCCTGATGATGATGAGTGAGCAAGCACACGACATCGAGAGCAGTGGCAGATCTTGAACACCTGCGATGAAGTTTCACATGTTGGCAGTGTGTCAGTTGGCGGCATCCTTTTTTGTAGAGTTGGTCCTGTGTGTAGCTTGCACCAGAACTAGATTCAATGATGACGGTATCAGCTTGGAAAAAAGGAATTTCTAGCAGGGGCAGGGTGCAGCAGGCAATTCTCTTTTAGCACTCACAAGGCAGTGGAGCTTTTCGTGTCAAGCAAGTCACACGTATTGATTGTGTCGTCGGAGGCTTCGTCTACAAGGACTTCAACAGTAGGAGGCTCAATTCATGAAGGTGTCTCATGATAACATTAAAAAACGGTATTATAAAATATAATCACGTATTCACTATGTACATATATATATATATATATTATATATATATATTTGTTATTTTTGCATATTATACTATATACATACACAGACTATCTATAAATTGTACACATGATATCTGCTAGCATCTCAATGATCAGTCTGCCAAGGATGGGAAGATGCGCTGGCAGCGGTCGAAGCTGCTATGCTGGTGGCCCTAGATCGGACCATTGACCTGAGATCCGTCATTCAGTTCGCAGTGCTTAAATATTTTTTTTTTTTTTCAGAAGTTTTATGATGGACGGTTGCAATCATCCACTACTAGTTGCGAAGCAAGGGGGGCTCCTAGCCAACCTTATTGCCTTATTGGACCACTTCGGTTGGTATCCCATCCAGCTCTTGTGCAGTATGCTGGCAACCAGTAACTCCCAAGGCCTCCAAAGAGTCGACGTGTTCGAAGGTATCGCTTAATATTCTCCACCGAGTTGGTGAAGTTTGGTCATGACATCGCATCTGAGTTTTTTGCGGTCGTTGGAGAGTCCTCCCAATCCAACCAGCCTATCCGTTTGATGGTCTACGATGGTCTCAAGACTCCGCTAGCATCAGCTAGCTGGAGTTGGCTTTGCTTTAGCAAATTGATTGCCTACCATGTGAGCTATCAGGGGGGGCCCGCCCACCCCTTCGATTGCCCCCTGGTCCCTAATGGGTGAGTGTTCAAGTAGCTGCCATCGTTGCTGCTGGACGCCTGGCGTTTTTGTTGGTTTTGAGGGTGTGAAGTGCAGCCCTACCATCGAATGCGTTGCGGATAATACGGTAGCACACCTGTTGCGTAGCGTTCTTCGTACGTTTTTTCCCGCGAGGGTCACGCAGACGTTTGTGGTGCATGCATCTACGTTTGCATTCCACGTGCACAGACACACGCGCAGTTCATGCTGATGCACCATGCGTGCTGTATTTGGCTCCGGAAAGACATGCCGCGACCGTTGTTTCATTTTTTTTGGTGCGCTGCCTTGGTTCTTTTGTTGCAGTTGGGGGTTTTGTGGACATAGACGAGTTACGACCGGTTCTTCGACCGTTTTGTTTCGTGTTCACCCAGGAGTTGTGTTTTTTTGGACATGTGGAATGATTTACACCATGTCATTTTTCCAGCTCACGAATTTTGTATCGTGCCTGTGCTGCAAGACCAGCCGCGTTGTGCGCAAACGGCGCCAGAGCATGGGACAAGGCCGCTGCAATGTTCGCATCATAGACCAAAACGTTCCACGTGGGTTGTCACGCGAAGCGGCACTCAACCGCTGGATGCAGATTGGAAGAGCTTGAACCCCACAAGCAGCCAACAACAAAAAGGAAAGGTGTAAAGGCCACGGCGCAGCAAAGCTGGGGACGCGTGTGTGGCAATGGGTGTGTCGATGTGAGAAGTTGCGTGGAACACCGGCGGAGAACGTGAAAGTGTCCTCCAAAGTGTGGAATGCAAAGTAGTTTTCGAAAGTTGCAAAAGCAGGGTGCGCATGTGAACACCGCAGTCTGACTGGGGGCGTGACAACTCCGACGCCGAAACGACCAGGCGCCTGGTGGCGGCGTTCCCAAGTAGTTACATTGACATATGAATTGTTTGAATCCTCCCTGCCCTGTTTGCCCTGCCTTCCTCACCTGGTCCTGCTAGCTTTGGTCACCAACCCGCCTCAAGCAAACCGTAGCAGCACCGTGCATTCGACGGCGCTCGGACCTTGTTTTCGGCACCAAGCATGCACAACAGGCTGGACATCGAACCAAAGCAGTGAAACATCCCACCACAGGAGCCACACCGGAGCCTCCCATGTCGCCGCGTGCATGCAGCCGCCGGCCCGGCGACCGGAGGCCCCACTTGTCGGCCTTTGCGGGGCCGACGCACTGGGCACGGCATCATGCTCGAGGCCTTCAAACTCTGGCGCTGGAGGAGCGGGCGGGCGGGTTTTGGCAAAACGGACACGTGGGGGGCGGTGGGGGGAAGGCCATTTTGGATTCGTTGGAAAAGGATCAGCTAAAGGAAGGGAGGAACATGCAGGAGAGGAAATGGTACACTTTGGAGATGAACACTCCTCTGAAATGCAGGTGGTGTGGGATGAAATGCCTTGAGAAGGCTTTGACAATCAAGTACCAAGGGCTGCATGAGGTAAGTCGAATAGCTTGGGCGTTTCTGGCAAGCAAGTTTCGGTTCTTTTTCCTTGACTCCTTTAATGAAACCTGAAGGCTCAGCAGAAAACAGGTTGAAATGGCACCCTTTTGCAAAATCGATTCCACGGTGAACATTCAGATAAAACCATACTGGGCGATGGATTGTAGGGAAGTGGTACCGCCCACACTCCAAAAGTTCTGGGCTATAAAACCTCTGTGTGTGAATCACATCCAGATAGGAGGAGAGAATCTCTTCAAGTTCTAGAATCTAGTTCCACTCTATCACACGCCAGCGGTGGCTGGATCCTGATCATCAAAGATGAGAAATTTCTGAGTTACATCAGGTTGCATGTGGGGGTTGTGCAAGCTCCACAGGTGAATGAGTGCACATGAGTGCGAAGGAAGGATCACTCAGGGGGGTGAAAGGGTACCTGGTTCGAGCTGCTGGTTTGGACGGGCTCGGGACGGGTGCCAAGTTGTGCAGTGTGACGAGCTGGTCACAGTTGGGCCGAAGCTGAGGATGCCAAGTTGGAATGACTGGCCAAGCTGAGTATGGCAACCTAGTCCCTACCCTACTTCATCGCAACACGAGATACATTAAACCGACCACCGTCCTCCAGGACATGGGTTCCTTGTCCCTCCCAACGTGAACGGCCATTGATGGAACGGTTTGCAGGGGCACCTCCCCACACGCTCTCCCGCTATCTACCTGTGGGCCTCTACACCTTGCCACTACACTCCACTGCCGAGGAGCTGCAAAAGGACTCCAGGGCATACTTTGTGCTGGCAGAGCACGCGGCTGCCCTTCGCCCAGAAACAGAGACCAAGAGAAAGACATCTATATGTACAATATTTTGCAGTAATTAGTATATAATTAATCTATTTATCTATTATATAACTGATACGTGTTGGAACTCAAGAACTGAGCGGAAATGCTGAAGGCTGCTTGGAAGATCATGCCCCGCTATTGCGATGCTTTGCGCCTACTCCAACAACGCTTGCAGAAGGCGGCTGTCCTTTCAGCGGTTCTGCTAAGTCTACGGTTTCTCAGCTTCCTTGCGCTTGCCGTCTCAAATTCTCATGGGTACAGGGCGAATCAGTATGTCTCAAAACAGGCCGCCATCCCAACGTTGGATGGCCAGTTCGTCGATGTTCTCCACACGTTCTAACAAACGTCTTGCAGGTCAGAGATCGGCTGCCTGATGGTCTCAAAGATCGCCGGGAAGCCCGCGAAGAGATTTCGTTTGGTGGTGAGATCGGTAGAGGTGAAGGAACGCGAAAGCAGTGGACAGTGGTAAGCAGTGTCACCTTCACACAGAAGTTCTTGGGATTGGTCTTATCATTACTGTGCAATGGTTTTTCATGTCATCCGCTTATGGGGATGTTCAGGAATCCAGCGAACAACGTGAAAACGCGAATATAAAGTGTATTCAAGCCAACATTATCAGTTGTTTCCATTTTCTGGTTCGGTTGTCTTGTTTTCTCCGCGAATCTTGGTACAGTAACTCACTGGCAGAGAGAGGTATGATTTAAACACTTTTGGCTACTTAACTTCAGGTTCCCAAGTTTGGGATGTAAGCTTGCCGGTAGACAGACTTCCACTTAGAATATGCATATTCTGTTCTGTGCACAATTGTGCACAGTATGCAGGCTTTTGAAAGCTTTCCATGATAGTCCTGTACGTTGCACATTCCCTACATGCTTCTGGGAAGTGGTGAGCTCGTCACGAGGTGGTATGTTCTTGCCAACCATGGAGAGATATAGACGTCGTGTACACTGCAGTGCAAGACTGTTTTATCGCCATCATCGCTATGCAAGACAGTCCAAGGGTAGGGCTCGGCAGGGCTCACTTCTTCAGGCCTTCAAGAAAAAGTGGCTGAACTCCATGGTGACAGTTGGTGCCTCATTATGCTGCGCCAGTTTTGGAGGTTTCACATGCTTGACAAGTCGCATGAGAGTTGAAGGTCATGTTGGGAGCTCTCCTGTAGCATGTGAGTTGGCTGAAAAGATTTTGCACCACCTAGACTCTGGACTAGAGCCCTCAAGTCAGCTTTAGTCGGGTATTCATGGTCTCCATTTCTCATGGATTCCTCCATTTTGGGTGCAGGAATTGCTTCCTTCAATGTCCATTGTTGGGCATAACGACTCCTTTTTCCGAGACGTCGCGGGACACACACGTCGCGAGGCCTGCAAGGTTTGGACCGCGATGTGGCGACTCTGACAGCGGGGCTTCTGAGATGCGCTGGTCGAACGCGTGTTGGGTGAAACAAAAGAACGCAGAGCGGTGTAGGGGAACAACAAGTCCAGAAGGACACAGAAGGACAAGTAGAAGATTACAAAGACAAGGAGGGCAACATGAGAAGCGGGGAATGAACCAAGACGAAGGCATCAGACGGAGAAGGCAAGGGATCGGAAGGAGAAGAAGTGGAAGAACCACAAGAAGCACGAGGGAAAGGTGACAAATGGGACATACCACGTGATCTGCCTTAGATCCTTCTATGGGCGATGATGGAAAAGACAGAGCGAAGCTTGTGAACACTTGTTGTGCTTGTAAAGAGGAGAAAGCCTGTTGGCAGCTAGGCTGATTACATTCTTGATGTTCGAGCAAGCTTGGCTGCCAGAACTGTATACTATATATATATATATATTTAAGGGCTTACGCCCGACGGCCGGCCAGGGGCGTCAAGTCAGGGGGCCGGGTGGGGGCGAAAGCCGCGGTCGTGGTTGTGGCTGTTGTTGTGGTTGTTGGTGATGGTGTTGTTGGCGGTGTGGCTGTGATTGTTGCTGTTGTCGTGTGCGTCAACATACATGACAAGCTGGGCCAACATAGCCCAAGATAGCGCCAAGATGGGCCAACATAGGCTCGGGCCAACATAGGCTCAACATGGGGCCCAACATAGCCCCAAGATGGGCCAAGATAACGCCAAGATGGGGCAATGCAGTGCCAGCGTCGGCCAAGCATCCGGCCACGATGCAGATGAAGCACCCCGGTGCGGCGCGCATTTCCAGCATCAGTTGGGCCTATGTTGGGCTATGTTGACCCATCGTGAGCAACAAGAGCGGAAAAAAAACGTCAAAAACACTGGGTTTTCTGGTTCCTGCACCTGGGGTCGGCTACGCTTTCTGCTTCACAGAAGGAGAAGTGCCTTACCGGCAGGACACGGCCAACGGCTCTCCCTCTCTCTCTCTCTCTGTCTCCGGTCTCTGTCTCTGTCTCTGTCTCCGGTCTCTGTCTCTGTCTTCTCTGTCTCTGTTTTCTCTGTCTCTCTCTCTCTCTCTCTTTCTTTTTGAGACTGTGTGGGGCCTATGTTGCCACATCTTGAGGCAATCTTGGCCCATCTTGGGGCTATGTTTCCCATATCTAGGTAGGGTCATCTTGCGGCTATGTGTGCCATATCTGGGACCTATGCTGGGTCCTCTTGAGGCCTCTGTCAGATCACCGCCTTTGCTGTTGGCGCGTGCCCAACACCCACGAAATGTCGATTAAGCCTGTCCGCGCGGCGCGCATAACCAACACCAACCTTGAAAAACACAGCATTTTTGCATTTCTCCCTCTACGCCGCGTCGCGCTTCGATATGCGCAATAAACCATGTAAAACACAGTGTTTTGTGTACCTCACACACACACACACGAAACACCGTAAATTACAGCGACTTCAGTGACCCGGAAGTGATAAGGGGCTCCCCCCGTTTTGGGCCCGAGGATCGGCGGGAGGGGGGCGAGCGTATATCCGGCCAGGGGCGACGAGCCCCGTTGGCTGTGTCCTGCCGGTAAGGCACTTCTCCTGCGAAGCAGAAAGCGTAGCCGACCCCGGCCTGCGGACAAAAAACTCAGGGTTTTTGATGGTTTTTTCCCGCTCTTGTTGCTCACGATGGGTCAACATAGCCCAACATAGGCCCAAATAATGCTGGAAATGCCTGCCGCACTGGGGTGCTTCATCTGCATCGTGGGCGGATGTTTGGCCGACGCTGGCAGTGCATTGCCCCATCTTGGCGTTATCTTGGCCCATCTTGGGGCTATGTTGGGCCCATGTTGAGCCTATGTTGGCCCGAGCCTATGTTGGCCCATCTTGGCGCTATCTTGGGGCCATGTCGGCCTATTCTTGGCTCATCTTGGGGCTAACCTTCGCCCTCTGTTGGCCCATCTTAGCCCTACGTTGCCCCATCTTGGCGTTATCTTGGCCCATCTTGGGGCTATGTTGGGCCCGTGTTGACCCTATGTTGGCCCATCTTGGCGCTACCTTGACTCATCTTGGGGATCTGTTGGCCCAGCTTGTCCCTATGTTGACGCCAACATAGGCTCGGGCCAACATAGGCTCGACATGGGGCCCAACATAGCCCCAAGATGGGCCAAGATAACGCCAAGATGGGCAACGCAGTGCCAGCGTCGGCCAAACATCCGCCCACGATGCAGATGAAGCACCCCGGCGCGGCGCGCATTTCCAGCATTATTTGGGCCTATGTTGGGCTATGTTGACCCATCGTGAGCAACAAGAGCAGAAAAAAAACGTCAAAAACACTGGGTTTTCTGGGTCCTGCACCTGGGGTCGGCTACGCTTTCTGCTTCGCAGAAGCAGGCTGCTTTTTTTTTGGAGGGACACGGCCCTGACGGGGCGCCCTTGCTGTCTGGGGCGTCGCACTGGCTGCCGGAGTACCTCATCGTGCTTCATCCCGCTGTCGGAACCCTGGAACGGCGTCAGCTGCCCGATCCACCCTCGCAAGCCGTCGAAAACTCCCAGACAAGCTCTCCCACACAAGCGCGTACCCTCAACATCATGCTCGTACCCTCCCTCCAAGGCTCCCGCCAATCTGCTTCTATTTCGAGGCCAAATGAGCGCAAGCCGCTTTAGTATCTTCTGGGAGGGTAGACATTGCCAAGGCAAGGTGAAAGTGATCAAAATCATCATTGGGCAAACGAGATGCGCATGTCCAACCTTTGGCCACGGCAACCATAGCTTGATGACCAATGTGGTTTTCGAAGCTTACCTGCTTATTCCAGTTAGCCTTGGAGATAATCCTCAGGGCCGCACTGTAAAAGCAAGCTGTGGCCTTAAGGGAGGGAGGGGGCGAGCATGGTGTTGAGGGTACGCGCTTGCGGCTTGCGCTCACGGATGGATGGTGGAGGGTTTGAACATGGTCTTGCTGTTTGGGGGCACACTCACATGGACCTGCTACGCACGTATGAAGCTATTGTAGCCATCATTCCTCCTCCGTTTCATGATTTGCTTGGCTCCAAAGTTCTCTTTACCTGTCGAAGCTGTTGCAAATCTAGAGAGCAAGATGTTGCCACTTTCATTGTTACACGTCCTCCCACAGGAATGCTCTTGCATGTTGCCTATTTTGAAGCTGCCTTTCCGTGGTCCGAACACCGGCTCCCGGCAATCTCCTTCGCCACGCCTTTCCACCATCTAATTCAATTCGAGACCAAAAATCATCCAAAAATTGTCCTCCCAGTGCGGCCCCAGAGTCTCTAACGTTGCTTTCGGAGCCCACGAACAAAGTTTGTGAACAGCATCCAGCAAGCCCTTCTTCCGCTTTCGGAACCTGTAGCAACGCTTCAATCCCGCTGTCTGGGGCGTCTCACTAGCTGGCTGAGTACCTCATCGCTCTTCATCCCGCAGTCGGAACCCTTGCTGTCTGGGGCGTCGCACTAGCTGCCGGAGTACCTCATCGTGCTTCATCCCCTTGTCGGAACCCTGGAACAGCGTCAGCTGCCCGACGCAGCCCTCGCAAGCCAACGAAGACTCCCACACAAGCTCTCCCACACAGGCGCATACCCTCAACACCATGCATGCTCGTACCCTCCCTCCGCTCCCGGCAATCTGCTTCGCCACGCCTTTCCACCATCTAATTCGAGACCAAAAATCAGCAAAAAATTGTCCTCCCAGTGCGGCCCAGAGTCTCTAACGTCGTTGCTTTCGGAGCCAATAAACAAAGTTTGTGAAACGGCATCCAGCAAGCCCTTTCTTCCGCTTTCGGAAACTGTCGCAGCAACGCTTCAATCCCGCTGTCTGTGGCGTCTCACTAGCTTTCTCCTTCGCAAGATAACACCATCCGTGAGCGCAAGCCGCTCCGTGAGCCCTCGCAAGCCGTCGAAAACTCGTACCCTCAACGCCATGCTCGTACCCTCCCTCCAAGGCTCCCGGCAATCTGCTTCGCCACGTCCTCCCAGTGCGGCCCCAGAGTCTCTAACGTTGCTTTCGGAGCCCATAACAAAGTTTGTGAAACAGCATCCAGCAAGCTCTTTCTTCCGCTTTCGGAAACTGTCGCAACGCTTCAATCCCGCTGTCTGGGGCGTCTCAGTAGCTGCCTCCTTCGCAAGAAAACACCATCCGTGAGCGCAAGCCGCTCCGTGGGCCCCCAAGTGAGCGCAAGCCGCTCCGAGCGCCCCCCAAACAGCAAGAGCATGCTCGAACCCTCCACACCATCCATCCGTGAGCGCCAGCCGCTCCGTGCGTCCCCAAGTGAGCGCAAGCCGCTCCGTGCGCCCCCAAACAGCAAGACCATGCTCGAACCCTCCACACCATGAGAACTCGTACCTTCTCTCACGCGCCCCCCTTGCAGCCGCAAGGGGTCGGCGGATATACACACACATTATTCCATATTGAAAGTGCACGTGCTGCGAAACTAGGTGCACAACAAACAGCATCATTATTCATGATCCGCAAATGGAGTACAGTATACCTATACCATCTATACATACATATACCGACTCATCTCAATTCAATCACTCAAGCTAATCTATGGTCACAATGAGCCGTGATGGATGGATGCTGTTTGTACGAGGTAATTCTTTTTGTATGATGCAATAAATAGGAAGAACCTGTCCTCTTAGCTTGGTTGCTGAAGACAGCCAGCAAGAGAAAAGCTGGCTAACCGTTGGACACGACTTCGCAGTGCGTTTGTGATGGGAACCGACACCTTCAGGCGTTTGAAGACGTTACCGATTCGCTGACACGAAGGCGTTACATCTTCTTCTTTCGGTCGTGTTTTCTCAGGAATGGCTTCAGCAAGCAGGTGCTCTAGGCCTGCAACTTCCAAGGGTCTCATCGCCCCAACAAAACCTCATGTTGAGGGTTTTCTTCAATTCCAAAGTCTCTGTGTTGACGTTTTTTTTTGGCCCCTGAGCCTTGGGTACGGGCCGTACCGTACGGCCCCCCTGATTCCAGCCATTGGTCATTCGTGACAGGTTCAACTGCAGCTGAAGTCGAATGAAAATGACCGGTGCTGTGCTTTTGCAGTCTAGATCTAAATGTTAAGAAGAATAGCTGAGTTCGGAAGGGAAACTTGCTCAAGCATGTGTCACGCACGCACCATGCCGAATTGATCCACTGCCTCTCCGTTTGGCGCAGACCCAAATCAGTAGTTCTCGTCATTTTATTTTTCCAATTAAATCAAGCCCTTTTCATTAGGGCCGCATCAGTGCCCGGTTCACAGGCAATCATGAAGAACATCGCAAGCAGGATTAGTTGTGGGGAATGGAGCATGAGGATGTTGCTTTTCAATAGTCAAACCCAACCCTCATGCAGACGGTTTCGATGATGGAGGCCAGGGTTGTTTTTCGGATCTGCTTGCGCTTCAGATATAAGCTGACTGATCCGCTCAACAGGTGGCATGGGTGCCGAAAGAGAGATCAGCAGGCTGGAAGCTTATCAATCTTGGGGAGCAAACGCCATGACTCATTCACGCGGAGGAACTTCATCTAGTTCGACTTTCAATCAGGCTGGTGCGGTGGTTGAGCAAACCATGTCGAGAAACTCTGGATTTTGGAGGTGATCGTGCTGAGTTTTTCGCATGGCCTGCCGGTGTTTCGGAGCAAGTTTGGGCTCAGAACTTCCTGTCAACTCCAGTTCTTGCCCCCTTTGACATCATGGGGCCACCCGGTAGCAATGCCGATGGGCATGCTGAAAAAAGCTGCTTTGCAAAGGGACCTCTGAGGTCTCAATGCTCTATGCTCAAACACCAAGCAGTGAACTTCCCGCAGTTGCATATTTTATATACATCTTTGCAGTTCGTTTGAGGCTGCATGACCTTGGGCTTGGACGACCTCGATGAATCCTGGCAGCATCTGACCATTGCGTCCATGGCTCATCTCCGCTCCGAACGCCGGATGCCCCGTCCGAGGCCATGGACGCACCGTCCGAGGCCCTGACCCTGGGGCGACGTGTCGAAGCTCCCCGCCTGGGCCGTTTCCAATGCCGCACGTTTCTCACGGTTCGATCGCTTCGAGCAGCTAGGCTAGCAGGTTTTGGGTCTTTGACTAGCCATAATCATCATGTCTAAGTTGTAGTGGAATTAGATGGAATCTGGAATCCTTCGGATAGAAGAACCTCTTCCAAGTTCTTCAACTTCCTCAGCCAGGACTTCCCTGCTTGCGTCCAGGGCTCGAGCGCCCCACGGGTGCTTACTACTCGTACTGCCACGACCATTTGCGGAGGCTCGAACTGTTGGGATGCTTGGGAACGTTTGCAGGTGTGATTTGTTGAAACATTACTCAAGATGTTTGGGTGTCAACGGCTGAATGGTTGTCCAACTTTCATGGTCAAACTTTTAGTTCTTCATGGATCAATGGATGTGGTAACTCCAAGCAACAGTCGTGTCTAGCCGCCTAACTGTATCGAGCACAGGCCTCTCTTCCCATGAGTCTGCATGTTCCCCAAGACGTCTTCCGTCCTCTCGTCGCTGTCTGAGGTGGAAGCAATTTGACCTTCCGGCCTGCACGAAGGAGGCTGGAGACTTTGCAGGTTGGAAGTATCAGCATCATTCAACATGACAAATAAGTGGAGGCTCACCTCTTCCATCCATTTTCATCTTATCCAAGAAACATGGAAGTGGACACGTCTTCTATAGTCAATACTATGTAGTATGCAGTGTTGAACAAATCCAACCCAAACTGCCTACAAACCATTGATCAAGCAGAACTAGCTGTAGTCACTGGGACCGGACGATTCTTTGCCACTCTATCCTGCCAGTACTATTCTCATACACACCGACTCAATATGTCGTCAACCTGATTCATCATAATATCACTGCGCTCGCGACCCGGCAGAGCAAACACTATCACACCTGGACCTCACCCACTCGTTGCAGACACGGCAACGGTCGACCGAATCCTTGACCTCTTTAGGGTTCTGGGCAACGACTTGGCAGATCACGCGGTCTTTCCGAAGCCGGGTTCCAAGACGATGATGAATTCGTTCCCAGCGTCAGCAGCCTCTGTAACTTGGTGCACAAACCTCGCAAAGAGGAGGAATCTGCACTGACGTTCATCTGGGCACATCTTGCTATTCTAGTAGGGTTCCAGCACTGGATCCTTCACGCTTCACACAACATCGAGCCATCGCAACTCACTGCATCATACCCGGCGACTTTCGATTCCCATATTGGTTAACTGGTCCATCACAGGCCTGTGGTCACCTGATGCTCAGATTCCCCTGATTGTGTGTACAAGACAGGGGGATCGCTGACACATACTGTACATGTCTTAAGGGAATCATGGGCGTCGCTCATGCTGTGTGGCAGTTCCTGTTGCCTCAGTGGCTGTAGAATATTTGCCACAGCACGTCGAGGCAGCAATCGACACTTTGTCCGGGAGGATGCCTTTCTCTTCTCTCATTTGGAATTGGTCCCAAATATACGGCTTTGAAATGAAAGAAGGCCACGATTGCCGCACAGAAGACATCAGAAGAACTTGCAGACATTGGCAGCTTTGGTCGACGAATTCCCAACAAGTCCCCCATTTCATAACGCTTTACTCACCAACATAATACAGGCACTCGGCTTTTTGCTGTTCCGGATTTGCTTTCAAAAAGACCAGGAATCCCAATACTGTGTTCGATCCATAGTAGTGCCTCCGAATTATATAGATGCTTGCATCCGCTCACACATTGTTCCTCTCAATCATTGCATCGAGTCCGTCCTATTCGGTCCGTAGTTCATGATGTGACACCGTGTACCACCCGTCCCGGAAGCCATTGCCTGAACCATTTTTGAAGGGTCTGTGAGGGGCGAGCCGCAGCGTTTCTCCAGTGCGAGACCATGCGAGACCACCAAACGGCATTTTTTTGGGGTGAGGTGTGACTGATAGACCCCTAGCCTTGTCATGACGTGTGGATGAACTCGACTTCTCCAATGTCTTCCAGACAGGTCACTGCAGATGCAAGACCAGAGGCATCCAGGCTCTGGGCTTCTCCAGCTCCAGGCCATGGACACAGTCGCCTCGACCGCCCGTGGCCGGCCCAAGACGGCCGCCCGCGGCCAGGAGCAGTCCAAGATGCCTCCAACTTCTCACCCCAGACACCTCGGTCTGGAACTCGGAAGCACAGAGGGACAGGAGGGGCGCTGTCTGGCTTGACACGTCGTCCTTTACCACCATTTGACTGAAGGAGTTTGCTGTTTGATTTGATTGGCAGCTGAACTGATGAGGCAAATGTCTGGTCGTACTGCACTGAAGCGGATCGAAGAGGCCTTGAGGAAGCGAGGCGAGTCTCGTGAAAGCCTGTCCTGTTCTTCTCCAACGGCCTTGATTGCAGACTCCCAGGATCAAATCTCCTTGTTTGGGTTTTCCAGACACTTCCAGAGGCTTTTGAAGAGGCTTCCAGAGGGTTTTGAAGAAGCTTCCAGAGGGTTTTGAAGAAGCT